ATGATCTTTATAGTTTTTGGCTTTATATTTAGGTCTTTGATCCATTTTTGAATTCATTTTTGTGTATGGTGTGAGATATGGGTCCTGTTTCACTTTTTTGCAGATGGACATCTAGTTTTGCCAGCACCATTTGTTAAAAAGACTGTCTTTTTCCCATTTGATGGACTTTGGGCCCTGTTTGAAGATCAGGTGACCGTAGGTTGATGGATCAAATTCCTTTAGTTTTACTTATTTGGCATGTCAATACTGCTTTTGCAGTAATGAAGAATGCATTGTTGTGGTAATTTTCCTGCGATTAAACAAAACAAAACAAAAATTCCTTGGCTTTATTTATTTGGGCTGTAAGTACTGCTTTTGCAGTAAGGAAGAATGAATTGTACCATGTTTTGGAAAGTTTCATGAAAAATAATAAAAAGGCTAAGAAGAAGGAGACTAGAATAAAATGCATGTGCAGTCATTGTCAGTTGCCTTCATATTTTACCTTATGTTTTGCAAATTTTCAAGAAATAAAATTAAAAAAATAAATGATTTTATCATTGACTCATTTTGGCAAGATTTACAATGTCCAGGGTCTGCTGGGACTTATGTGATCCCAGGTAACGGGTAACAACACCCACAGATCATAACAAAAATCCCGAATTGGTCCTTTAATCAGTATGCCTTCCATTAGTGAAAGTACATGGCATCAACAAATAATTCAATGGAGAAAATAATTGAGTCTTGAAAGGGATATGTAACTTACATAAAAGATATTTATATTTCTCACTCCAAATTAATTAAAATAGTTTATATACAAATAAGGTTTATAATAGGGATTTTGAAAGTTTCGCTTTGTAGAGTTTTAAGTGTTTCAAATTCTCAAAATTTTTTTGGCAATTGTTGCAGATAAGTTTGGTTAACCCTTTCCCACCACTGGTTAAAGACTCTTACAAAAACAGGATTCTGGCCAATCAATTCTTTTCTTTTCACTTGAAGAAGCACAGATACTGACTAGATATTTAAAAATTCACCTCCAAGCCAAATTAAATCCATCTCCAGGTCTAAATATCCCTGAAAAAAGATAAGAGCTTTAGGTAAAAAGTCTCCTATTTTTAATCCTACCTGAATGACTAGTATTTATTTTCCCATAAGAAATTCTGTTAACCAAAAAGATAGTCATCTTTAGTCACAATATGATAATCTTCATATGGGTATCCCCAGTAAGAAATCTGACTCTGTAAAAAAAAAAATGAAAAAACACCTTTAGCTTAGAGGATTTGGCCAAATAATTTTTAGCATTCTAACTCTGACCTTTTTAACCCCATTTGATAACAATATTGAGCATTAATTTTAAGCACTTTGGTTCATACCAAAAATAAAACAAAACGAGTAAAAGCCCTATAGGATTAATCTCATTTGTGTGGTCTGTTTCTTTTTCCTACTATTAAGTCAGGAAAGGTGTGCATCAGGGTTGTATCCTTTCACTGTACTCATTCAATCTGTATGCTGAGCAAATAATCCAAGAAGCTGAACTATATGAAGAAGAATGGACATCAGGATTGGAGGAAGACTCATTAACAACTTGCAATATGCAGGTTGCTGAAGTGCTTGCTGCGAGTGAAGAGGACTTGAAGCACTTAATGCTGAAGATCAAGGACTACAGTCTTCAGTATGGATTACGCCTCAACATAAAGAAAACAAAAATCCTCACAACTGGATCAATAAGCAACATCATGATAAACGGAGAAAAGACGGAAGTTGTCAAAGATTTCATTTTACTTGGATCCACAATCCACGTCCATGGAAGTAGTAGTCAAGAAATCAAATGACTTATTGCATTGGGAAAATCTGCTGCCAAAAAACCTCTTCAAAGTGTTAAAAAGCAAAGATGTCACTTTGAGGACTAAGGTGCACCTCACTCAAGCCATGGTGTTTTCAATGGCTTCATATGCATGCGAAAGATTAACGATGAATAGGACAGACTGAAGAATTGATGCCTTTGAATTATGGTGTTGACAAATTTGTTTATCTGTTCACATGTTAACGGACATTTGGGTTGTCTCCAATTTTTACTTATTATAATTAAGCTACTATAAAACTTCAGGTACATGTGTTTTTTTGGAAATGTGTTCTTTTTCCTCCTGAGTAAACACCTAAGAATGGTACTGCTAGGTCATATGGTAAGTATATTTTCAACTTTATAAGAAATTACCAAACTGTCTTTGCAAAATGATTGCAGCATTTTCTTTCCCACCAGTAATTCAGAGAGTTCCAACTATTCCACAACCTTGCCAACACTTGGTAATGTCTCTTTTTGTCTAGTGACTATTAGATGGTATCTTATGTTATTTTGATTTGCATTTCTCTGATGACTAATCATATTGAACATCTTTTCATATGCTCATTGGGTATTCTTGTATCTTCTTTTGTGAAGGATGTGTTCAATTCTTTTGCCTAATTTTCATTGAGTTGCTTGTCTTCTTATTATTGAGTTATATGAGTTTTTATATACTATAGACAAACTTACTGTGTTACATATGTGTTGCAAATATTTTCTCCTAGCCAGTGGCTTATTTTTCATTTTCTAAATAGTGTCATTTGATGAGCAGAAAATTTTTTTGGCATTCAATCTATCAACATTTTATTTATAGTTACTCTTTTTGTGTATGTGTCTTATCTAAAATCTTTGCCTATCTCAAAGTTGCGAAAATTTTCTCCATTTTCTTATAAAAGTTTTAGGTTTTAGATTTAGGTCTATGATTTACTTCAAATTAACTTTTGTGTATGATATAATAGAGAGGTCCAACTTAATCTTTGTCCATACTGCTATCTAGTTGTTGAAAAGACAGTCTTTATCCCATTGAATTACCTAAGCATCGTTGTCAAAAATTAATTGGCCACATAGGTGTGATCTATTTCCAAGCTCTTTATACTGTACCATGGATCTAGATTTCTTTATTCTAATACCACGCTGTCTCAATTAGTGTAGCAATTAGGTAATATAAGTTCTCTAACCTTTCTCAAACTGTTTTGGCAATTCTAGGTTAATTGTAATTCTGTATAAATTTTAGACTCAATATAACCATTTGCAGAAAAAAGAGCCTGCTTGGATTTTGATTGTAATTGCTTTGAATATATAGATAAATTTGGGGAGAGTGTATATCTTAATAATATTGAGTTTTGTAATTCATGAACATATTTTGTTCTTATCCTTATTACTAAGTATTATAACTTCCCATGCTATTGTAAATGATATAGTATTTTAAATTTAATCTTATAATTTTTGATACTATTATATAAAATATAATTTGTTGTATATTGATTTATCTTGCAACATTGCAAAATTCTAGTGTTATTGCTAGTATCTTGCATGATTTGAACTTCTTCAGAAAGGATTTACAATTGCTTTTGACAGATGTGTAAGGCATTAGTATTCCCAGATAGCCTTAAATACATTAGGAATCTATATGAGTCAAAGCTGGACTACAGCTTCTGAAGGGGTGATTAATTTTCAGTTCAACTTTACTCCTAGCATACAGTACTTTGGGTTTCCACCTCAAAGCTTGAGAATGGGCGTATACCAGAGCACTTGATGAGCTGAATTCCAAGTTTTGTACTCTACTGATTTTTTCAGCCTTTTAGCCATACTTTGGAGTAAGTAGATGTTGCTAGGGATAAGCTTCCAAAATGCCAGGCTTATTTCTCTAGGTTTCTTTTTCATGATCCTGTTATTATTCACTGCGCTGTTAACTCTCCATTGTCTTCAAACAGATGTTTTGTGTATTTGTCTGAGGTCCAAATTACCTAGTTCACCATTACCAGAAACTTCCAAATCATTCTTACAACCTCAACATGAGTAATTCTTCTGAATTATTATCCTATTACATTTACCTTCTTTGAGGAACCATTTGAATACTTTAAAGTAACTTAAGCTATGTTAACATTCTCGACCTCTTTAAGAAAAATGTCTCTACTTCACTCAGCATAATGTTTTCATGTATGCTGAGTGAAGTCAGTGGAGTAGGTCAATCGCAAAACAAATATTGTATGATCACACTTACATTAAATATCTAGAATAGGCAAATACATAGAGACCAAAGTTTATTAGCAGTTACCAAGGATGGAAGGGAGGGGGAAATGAGAAGTCATGGTTTAGGAAGCATTGAGGATCTTTTTATGGTGATGGAAAATTTGGAAATGGATACTGATGAGAGTTGCACAATATGTTAATGTAATTGGCATTATTGAGTTGTACATGTCAAGGATGTTGAATCGGCGAATGTTATGTATATTTTACCACAAAAAACAAAAACACAGATGCCTCTAAATATTTGTCTATTCACAGCACTCCATTATTTTAGTTCCAAGGATTACCAAAGAAAGCTAGGATTCTCTTCAGCCTTTACTATGATCTTTAAAGCTATCATTTGTCTTCTCTTAGCTGCATTCATAATAATGTATAAGTATGTGCATTTTGTTTTTTCTCACTATCTATACATATCCAACTTCTGTTTATATAACAATTTCAAAAGTCCATAACCATGTGTTAAGTATAAATTTAACAATTATTTAACTTGATTTTTACATAGCTAAATTTGGCTTTCAACCTCTAGACTGTTGAAGGCCAAAATATTTTCTAATTCAGTAAATTATAGATTTTTTTCTCAGTCTTTGTGTGGTAAATTCATAGTCAATGCTAGACTTCCCCCTTCCCATTTTGCTTTTCTGAGATGATAGAAGTCCAGGGAAGTTATGTACTATTCAAGAATCGAAAGGGAGGTTGGTCTCCCCAGAAGCATAAATCCTTGCATGTGGTTTTGGAGAAGGCCTGTGTGCCCTGCATCTGCTGCTGCTGCCCACTGTCTTGCCACAGTCCATGGGGCCTATAATCCATGTCATATTCATTGACGGTATCCCTTCATCCCAACTCTTGGCCTCTTCCTATCTGCCAGTGCTCTCTTGAAGATGTTTACACCTCTCTGGCATATAGCGAACTATTGGATTTTTCATGTACTAAGCTGCACTGCATACTATTTTGTGAGGCCATCTTCAGGTCTATTTATCTAGGAATATCACTCAACTATCGCTACTCTAAATGCATACATGCTCAGCTGAAAAGGCAAGTTCAGACTTCACTCCACCAGCTACATTTTGGGAAGTGAGGCACAACACCTCTCTGGTTTCCATGATCTTCCTGCTTCTGGAACTTGGCCTGAAGTGGGCAGAGAGCAACAACATTACACTGGCATCCATGCTTTCTTTCTTCTTTTCTCCCCAGACTCCTTTACATAGCTCAGAAAGTGACCTCTCCTTTCTGCACAGAGGAAAATTTTTTTTGTATCGTCCAGTATCCTTCCAATGTACTTCCGGTGTTCTTTTTATAATATAATGTAAATGCATAAGATTTTGAAAGGAAAAAAAAAACTTTTTCTTAAAAATCATCTCTGGCACTTGAGAATGTGTAAGATTATTATTTCTGTTATAAATTACTTCAATTCCATTTAGAAACTCAATAGACTTCTTTGGGTTGAATTATAATCTGCTATTTCTCCTGGGACAATAAATACCACTAATTTAATAAGTAAAGGGCCTAGGTGCAATAAGAAAAAATATAGGATAAAAATTACAGATTTAATTTAAATAAGTACAAAAACATACACAGTAAGGAAAAAAGAGATTTTAATAGGTATTATATAGATCTTTTATCACAGAGTACCCTGATCTTTCAACACAGAGTACCATGGTGCTTTATAGATTGCCTTGGATAATATCAACAATTTCATAGTAAACTTCATGACATACATCTAATCCGAACAAAAAATCCATATGATTGTAATAAGGAATAGTTTTATGGTAAATGTGGTTTGTGATTTTAGAAAGTAAAATTTTAACATCTTCAGGGTCAGCCAACAAGTCATTTTCACCATTCCAAGTAGCAGTTGGTACTTTCATATTTGTCACATCATACAATGGAGAACTTGTCTTAATACAAATGAGCAAAAGTAAGAATCTTCATAGAGAATGATACATTAGAAAGTGTTAATTACTAATTCTTCAAATGATGAATAAAAATACTGTTTTAAAATAAGCTGGATATAAAAAAAATTACTATGAAAGCAAAGAATATGAGATGCCTATGATTATAATCCCTATTCAGTATTATATACTCTATTTTGCATATTATTATGTTATAATATAATTATACGAGTTACCGATGATTATACTACCTACTTGGTATTATAATTTTTACTTAAAATAAATTATACACAAATCAAAACTAGATAGTTTTTTCTAATTCAGAGTATTCAAACATTCTACAGAAGTAGTTTCAGTATTACTTGTAAAGCATGGAAGCATTTTAATCAAAATTTCCTGTGGCTGTATCACTGTCAATACGTTTGTCAATAAATGATGAATATTGGCAGTCAAGGCTGACTCTTATCTAATTGAATTTGATGTTCATATTTTACTTCAAACTTTTACATGAGCAGACCGCATCAGGCATGGAGTTTAGCTGAGGCAGGAAAGTATGATGAAAAAGCATAAACTTGGAGTCAGACAGACTTAACTTTGAATGCTTCAAGAATTTCACTGTACTTATACAAGTTCACCATTCTCACTAACATCTATGTTTTTCCTAATAATTATATGTGTATGTTTTATCTTCCCAAATAGAATAAGTTGTTTTAGGGCCAAGAACTATATTATACTTTTTATTTCTTATATAGCCAAGCACAGAGCTATGCATATTACAAACATAATGTTTTTCCTCTGAGGGATGACCAATTTTTCTAATCCTCTAACTTTTCAAATTCTCTAGGCTTGTCCATGATGCATTGTGTTAAAATACAAAAAAAAAAAAACATGAAAAAGGCTACTTTAGCTAGGTATGACAGTATGAATCCAAATCAACTTGACTATCTGTTGTTTCTTCTCACTGTGTTATTGAACTCTAGGCCTTTACAGATGAATCTTGATCTATGGTAAAATCACTTGAATTAATCAGGTAAGAAGATAGTTTCTAGCTTACATGTAATTATTTACCTGATTAAAATGAACCAAATTCAGAACAGGACTGCCCCAGTCAAAAGCTTTCAGCTGACTCGAATTAAAAAGCTGAAATAAAAACAAGAAATAAGTCTATACTCATTAGTTTATCAAAATGTCAGCTGATGCAAGGTAGATATGCATTGCACATATGTCTTTTCGTACTGTCTGCTGGTATATGTGCAGGTGGGCTTCTTTCTTCCTCCTTTCCTTTGGACAGGGGAAGAAGGGATGGCAGGTGGGAGGAGGGATCTAAAGAATATGATAGATCACCTTCTTATAAATGCACATCTCCCCAAGATCTTTTAGTACCCAAAGGGGGCCTGTGTGCTTGGGGTAACAGCAGGCTTCCCCAGAAATCCTCAGCTTCATCAGCAGGGGTCAAGAGTGAATGTCCTTCACTAGAGCTAAGATGACACTACTCTAAACACCTTTGCTTCAAATGACAGGGCTCGAAAGTGTGTCGCAGAAGCCAGCCTTCCTTCATCCTTTTACATTTGCAGCTTCACCACCACTGTCTGCTTTGAGTCCGCTAGATCTAAACTGATAACGCCCATTTTTTCCTTGATTATGTTTTCATCACAAGAAGGTCCAGACTCTCATGGTACCAATTTTCTCTGGTACTCTAATCCCTATAAGGTGCCATACTTCCCCTATTCTGTCATCCTCTCCTGAACCTGTAAATCAAACTCGTTGCAGTCAAGTGGCTTCTGACTCATAGCGACCCTATAGGACAGAGTAGAACTGCCCTACAGGGTTTCCAAGGAGCGCCTAGTGGATTCAAACTGCTGACCTTCTGGTTACCAGCTGTAGCTCTTAACCACTACACCACCATGATTTCCCATCCTCTCCCAACCCTCCCCAATTTCTGAAACTTCTTCTCTGAATGGCCCCTTTACTTTCTTGCTTTGTTGACAATCTGGTTTTCCCTGAGGACACTTCTTCCCCTGCAGTTTTTTCAAGCGTTTTTTTTTTCTCTTATGTATAAGTATCACTGGAACTGGAAGTTGGATTAATCCTCTTTGTTCCTCATTGCTTTTTCCAGACTATTACCACTTTCTCCCCTCTAAAACCCCAAGCTTTAAATCTCATACCATTTAATTACATTACCCACTATCCTTTACTGCTTCTGTCCTCTACCAAACCCCTGGTTGTTCTTTCTGGGATTTTAGTTCCTGCTCGCTGTCACTCTCTCTAAAACTACTCTTGTTTTGATTTTTAGTGGTTTACTCTTTCCAACAGTCTGGCCTCTAAGTTCCTTGAAATCTTTTCCTCCAATAATCTTGCCTTCTACCCTACACCGCTCATTCATTTTTATGGTTATATGCTACATCTTTTCATTACCATGATCCCTCTATGATATAAACTTGATGCATCCCATATCTGAACATTACTGCTGTTTTCCTAGTTAATTCTTCTAGTGTATCAACTTTAAAACTACTTCAACCCTTCTCAGAACTTGACTTCATTTATTCTTAATTTTTTATTATCCCTTATTCCTTTGATAAACTTTCTTCCCTCCTTACCCAGCTGAAACCTCATAATCACTAAAATTATTCCCTTACATTCACTCAACACTTCTCCACCTCTACTCATCATTTAACTTGCTTAGCAAAAACACAGCTACAGAAAAATCCAGTCCCTACGTACTCCTTGCCTACTGGCCAAACCACCTCCCCCTGCCAAAAAAAAAACCCAAACCCATTGCTGTCGAGTTGATTCCAACTCATAGCAACTCTATATGACAGAATAGAACTGCCCCCATAGAGTTTCCAAGGAGCAGCTGGTGGACTCGAAGAGCCAGCATTTTGGTTAGCAGCTGAGCTCTTAACCACTTCACCACCAGGGACTCATTTTAAATTTATGATTACAAAGCTCATCTAGCCACTAATTTTGCCTAGCTCTCATGCCGTAATTCCCTAGTTCATTTCCACTCCTACTCTCCCAGGTAATTATGTCATACTTTCTTCTCTCTCCATAAGCATTCACCTTCTTTCCCATCCACACTCTCTCTTATTGAACTTTGCTTCCTATTTTAATAAAAAGACGAATACTCAGCAAAGATTTGAGTCAGAGACTTCTACTACAACAGTACACTTACCAGCAAATGATCCCATACATTTTCTCTTCCCATCTGTTTCTTTGGTCAGAGATAAGGCTTATCTCTTACTTGTTTACTAGATGCTATCTATCCTAGAAATCCATCCCTCTCTCTCCTAATTCATAAATGTTCCCTTCTCTACCAGTCCATTTTGATTAATATAGAAACATGCTGTTAGTTCTCCCATATTACTAATAGATAGATTGATTGACAAAACCCCTCATTTCCCACAGCAGGTCTTAACCAATATCTTTGCTCCTTTTTGCAGCAAAAACTCCACAGAAGAGTTCTCAGCATCTCCAGTTTATCTCCTCCGACTGTCTTTTTTTATTGTCATAAAGTACACATCACATAACATTTACCATTTTAACCATTTACAGTGTACAAGTCAGTGACTTTTAGTACATTCACAATGTTGTGTGACCATCATCCAATCATCTTTTAAGCTCAACTTAATTAGCCCTTCACCTCCACTCAGTGTTGTGCTGAAGCCAGTTCTTATCAGCAAGAGCCAGTTGTGGGCATCTCTTCCCAACTCTGTGTTCAGAGCTGGTAGCTTGAAATCAGATACGGTGGGTATATTCCACACCATAGAAATCGACAAACATTAAACTCAAGTCTTTTTTTTTTTTTTTTTTCCAAATAGAGCCAATTGTTAAACATTTACCAGCACATACTGCTTCCATCCGTCCACCAAAACTGGGCAAGGTTAATTAACTTCGGTCAATTCTGCAAAATTTTCTCATATTACCTATCAGTGGCACTTGACACAGTTGTTCACTCCCTCATCCTTAAGATCTTTTCTTTACTTAGCTTTTAGAATATGCTTCTAGAATTTCTTGATCTGCATTTTCCATTGGCTGTTCCTTTTTAGCTTCCTTGGCATATTCAACCTCTGCTGCCTGACCTCTTAGTCTTTCAGTATCTCAGTACTCAATGTTTGTCCTTCTTCTCTTCTCGATCTACGCTCACCCCACATGTATTCACATGTAGTCTCTTGGCTTTAAATACCATCTATATTCAAAGTTTCATCTCTTTTTATTAAAAAAAAAATGCCATCAAGTCAGTTCTGACTCATAGTGACCCTACAGAACAGAGTAGAACAACCCCACAGGGTTTCCAAGGAGCAGCTGGTGGATTCAAACAGCCGACCAAATTGCCAGTCTTTTGTTTAACAGCTGAACACTTAACCACTACGCCACCAAGGCATCCCTCCTAAATTCTAGATTCTTATATGAAACTACCTATTCAAATTCATCACTTGGATGACTAAAACTTAACATCTCTAAAACAGAATATCTTACCTTTCCTCCAAACCCACTCCACTATCAAACCTCCCTATCTTTTTTAATGGCAATTCCATCTTTTCATTTCTTAGACCAAAAGCTTTAGAGTCACTCAAGACACACCTTCTCTCTCATATAACCTAAACCCCATTATTAAGTCTTGATGGTTCCATGTTCATGGTATACATGTGTATAAAAACCTGCAGTCAGTATCCACTTTATACAGAGCAAATGCCAAAGTCACTGCAATGGCATAGGGGTTCCTACATTACTTCAGGTCCCTATTACTTTTCTGACCTCTTTTCCTACCACTCTCTACCTTAATCACTCCACTTATATCATACTTGCTTCTTAACTGTGCTTCTTAGAAATGCCCCTGACTAAGGGCTTTGCATTGGCTTTTCCCTCTACCTGGAATGCTCTTCCTCCAGATGTCCACATTGCTAATTTCCTCACCTCCTTCAAATCTGTTCTCAAATGTCACCATCTCATTGAGGCGTAGACTAACCTCTCTATTCAAAAGTAAAAACTACATCTCAGCATGCCTA